CACTGTGCTCTTGAGCTTCTGATCTCTCTAGGTTTATCTTTATGAAACCCAGTATGAAACCAAGCCCGGTATGAAGAGAAGTGATGGAACATGCAGTTAAAACAGGCACGTTACAAGGCTGAAGCCTAATTGCAGGGGACCCAGAGCATCAGCGGGGCCGAGCAACCGTCTCTTCATGGTAGGACAGTCAGGGACGTGGCCTCCTCTGAGGGCGGCCCCATTAGCACCATGGTGAAAAAAATATTCACCGTGCCGTGAAGTTTTAATGTGCAGTTTTTAGAAAATCTTCCCCAAGTGTCATGGTTCTGAAATAACATCTGGGTCTCTATGTGCGAGTCGGGGGTTATATAAACAAATTGATGTTACACCACAGTGACCGTGGTAACATTTAGAAGAGGGGAAGCCCCATAAATAGCATAAGGAAAAAATTACTTGCAGTAACTCATTGAACAAATCAGTAGAAAATTGGGTCATTTTCACTTGATTTACTCTCTCTGCTTTCATATGCCTCGTACTCACTGTTTGCTTTAAATGTCTTCCCCTCACATGAGAGTCTTCCCGCCTCCGAATACCAAGGTAGTCCTAGCACTTAGCATGAAGTAATCTGGCATTGCTAATTTAGCCTTTCCAATACAAAAGCCTTGGTATTCCTGCTACTGGAATATCTTGGTGTGGTCCACAGTACTCAAAAAAAACCCCTACATTGACAAAACCATCACTAAACCATGTCCCTCTGCACCCTGTCTATCTTTTAGTGGATATCCATCTTTTAAATACCTTCAGGGATGGTGATTCCACCTCCCTGGGCAGCCTGTTCCACTGTTTGATAACCCTTTCAGTGTAGAAATTTTTCCCAATATCCAGTTTAAACCTTCCCTGGAGCATCTTGACGTTGTTTCCTCTTGTTCTGTCGCCTGTGGCTTGGGAGAAGAGACTTACCCCCAACTCTCCACCATCTTCTTCCAAGAGGCTTATTACTTGGGAGGCTGCAGAAGTCCTCCCTAGCTGAAAGGAAGCAACGGGAATGGCTAAAACCAGCTGGAATGATTGAATCCAGTGAGTCTGGAGGTTTATCCAGGCAGTGAAAACCCTACTCCAATCCTGCAAGGAGGAGGCAGGAGAAAAGACAGTCTGCAAACAGAGCTCGTCCACCTCAGGGTTTGGTGGCCACCTCTGCTCAGCATGGCCCTCTGGTGTCTCCTAAAGATGTCTGAGGCTTTGATCGTGCTGGAGTGATGCTGTCAGCCAGGGTTTTGCCTCAGGCAGAGGTAGGGAGGGCACCAGCCCATCTTGGAGAGAGAACAGGCTCTTCTCGAGGGTTTCCCCACACCGGGGAATTCCCTGGCTGGGCACACAGCTCTGCCAAACACCCCCAGACACGTACAGCAGGGTCTCACCACTCATCTTCTCCTTCTACCAACCTTGGAGTCAGCCCCGGATTTCTCCATATAAAGACCCAGTGTCACCACAGGGCTATCCCTGGGTGACCAGGAGCGTGGTTTTGCCATCAGCCCCTTGTGTACCCTTCTTCAAGTCTCATGCTAAATGTGTTCTCTGAGCTCTTCCTTGGGAACTTAAGTTCCAAAACTGGAGTGAGTTTCAAAGAGCTTCCCAGCAGCATGGGCTTCCCTAAAAAACCCGAAACGTCGCTCTGGGTTTCTGGGTTCTCAGGCCTCTAAGGGGAAAAAAAGAGTGCTGTTGTGGCAGTCTGGGTTTGGTGACAACACGGTCCTTCCCGGCTCTCTCTCTGGCTCTTTTTCTTCCCCTTTTCTCAAGGCTGGGCTGCAACCCTCTTGTGAAACCCCTGTGGTTTGTTAGAGGAGTGCAGTGGCATCACCAGAGCTTCAGCATTGCGTAAACGTGAGCGCAGAGGCTGACAGGGTGGCTGTGTTGGGAGGAACTAAATATCTTCCCCCAAAACTTTTATCCTAAAAACGTGGCCGAGGAAGGGGCCATCAGAGAGGATACCCCTCTGCATAGTTATTGCAGGTTGAAACAGGTTGAGTAAATACATTTGTTGGATCAGTGCATCTCTCCTTAGAGCTCTGGGGGGTTCTTCAGGCTGTCACAGCGACGGTGACAGTTGCAAGAGCCTCTGCAAGAGGAGGTATTACGATCTGACAGCAAAACCCATCCTAAGGTAGTCATTAAATTGTTCCAGGCGCCGGGACAGCATGTGATTATGTCAAACAAGAGGAGCAAATTGTACACTCTGCTTTCCCGGTGTAGGGGAATTTAGTCTGCAAGTCTGCTTGGGAAGGTTAAACACGGGCAGGTTTGCTCAGGAGAACATTCCCCACCAGTATGGGAACGATTTCTGTGGATGCAGGTCACCGCTGGGCTTATCCAAGGGGTTTTCTTGGACCTCAGAGGGTTTGGATGTTGCCAGCAGAAGCAATGTTATCTGCAGCTCAGGCTCAGACCTGTGCTTCTGGAAAGCAACCATCCCCAAAGGGGAA